TCACTTGAGCTCTCATACTCAAGTCTTGTTTTGCCCTTGTCTTGGCTAGCTTTGAATGCTAAATCCTTCTCTTTCTTCTTTGTAGAGGATGAGCCATCTTGTGGTGTGATGTGCATGTACATCTCATGAGCATTGATCTTTTCCAAGATTTGTGTTGGTGTAGCGGCGGAAAGATCACCTTGATGTAGCACGGTCACAATGTGCCCATATTTGTCAATGGGGAGGACACTCAAGATTTTTCTCACAACGTCGGATGGTGACATTTGAGTGAGTCCAAGCCCATTGACTTCCTCTACAAGAACATTTAATCGAGAATACATCTCATTAGCACTTTCTTTGGGAAACATCTCAAAAGAATTTAGCTTTTTAATCACAAGATGATAGCGTTCCTCACGCTCACTCTTGGTTCCCTCATGGAGCGCACAAACGTCCGACCATAGTGCATGGGCGTCTTTGTGGTTCCTTACACGATTGAACACATCTTTGCAAAGGCCTCTAAAGATGGTGTTGCGAGCCTTTGCATTCCATTTTTCATAATTCACTTCATCGCCTTGAAGTTGTGCGGCATTCCTAGGTGCTGGGAACCCTTGAGAGGCGGCTCTAAGAATTCCAACATCTAGAGCTTCTAAGTAAGCCTCCATGCGAATTTTCCAATATGGAAAATCATCTCCCTCAAAGATAGGAGGAGGTCCATCCCCGTGAGACATCTTGCTCTAAGCGATTAAGCTTAAAAACATGAGCACGAGGCTCTGATACCAATTGAAAGGATCAAGATGCCCAAGAGGGGGGGGTGAATTGGGCTAATTCTAAATTTTCTTGCAATAATCAAATCCTACGGATAGCCCAATTAACCCCTTGTGCCTAAAAAGTGTTTATATTAAACTAATGCACAACGACCTCGCAACCAACGTTCCAAACTTACTCTAGCAAGCAATTCTATGGATGTAAGACAAGTATTGAAATGCTCAAAGTAAATACTCAAAGTAAGTGCTCAACGTAAATAGAGAGAGAAAGGAACGCGGCGATGTTTTGCCGAGGTATCGAGAGTCGCCACTCCCCACTAGTCCTCGTTGGAGCACTCAGCAAGAAGGGTGTAGCTCCCCTTGATCCGCAAAGAAGGATCAAGTGCTCTCTCACGGTTGATTCTTCGACACTCCGTCGCGCGCGAATCACCCAAAACCGCCACAACTTGAGTTGGGTCACCCACAAGCTCCGCCGGGTGAACACCAAACTCCCAATCACCACCAAGCCGTCTAGGTGATGGCGGTCACCAAGAGTAACAAGCACGAACTCTCACTTGACCACGCCGGAAGCCTAATGAGAAGATGGATGCACACTTTGCTACTCTTGATTTGCTAGTGAGGCTACTCTCTTGGATTCTCAAATCACAAACACCTCACTAGGACCTTGCTCTTCTTGGCACTCACAAACGTGTTTCTCAAATTGTTGGAATGAGCAAAGATACTCCACTCACGAGTGGACCTTCTATTTATAAGCCACCCTAAAAAATCGAACCGTTATGAGCTTCTCATGGGACGACCGGACGCTCCGATCGTGATGACCGGACGCTTCCGGTCGGTTCAACCCACGAACCAATATTAAAGAGAAGTCGTCGACGGACGGGCGGGTCGGTCCGGTGCAGACCGACGGACACGTCCGGTCGCATAAAACCCTTTATCGAACCTTCTTTGGAGTCGACGGGACGCCGAACCCTCGTGGTCCGGTTAAGACCGACCGACGCTGGTCCGGTCACTCTTTCCCAAGTCTGGACCCTTCTTTGGTCGACCGGACGCCGGTCTCGGCGTCCGGCCACATGACCTTCTAGCGTCCGGTCACATCGACTTGTTCACCTCGGTCAAATGAACTGACCCGGACCTGCTGCGGCCGTCCCGTCCTGGCCGCACCGGAGCTGTCCGGTCAAGTGTTTGACCCTCCATTCACTTCCAACTTCCGAATATATGTGAATGAATTGTGCTCCAAAAGATCTTAGGCATTCATAGGAGCTACCTAGAGCTAGTTTAAACAAGTGTGCACCACACCTAACTCACTAGACTTAACTAGGTCAAGCTACCCGTTCATACCCCCCTTCATAAATACGGCCAAAGGAAAAAACAAAGTCCTAAACTACTCTAAGTGTCTCTCCAACTTCAATTGACACTTAGAACTAGTTATCCTTAACCTTGTCGTCCATCCTTTGAAAACCGAAACGATTTCCATCGTAGGGGCATGACAACCTCAATTGCCCAATCGATCTCCATTACCATGACCTAACTTAATTGCCTCTGCAAAACACACGTTAGTCATAGTAATCTTGTATTGACATCAATCACCGAAATCCAACTAGGGGCCTAGATGCTTTCACACCTCATCACCATGGATTGCTTTCATGATGAGCCTTCTAGCTCTTGCTAATTTACTCCTGGAAGGTGTCAAGTTGAGGTCTTTTTGCACTGTCCTACCAAAGCTACTAATGCTCATCTTATCATTTGCTCGAAATGAATCAATGTACTTACTTGCAAGCCACCTGGAAGTGCATCTCTTCAGCACCCACTCTTTATGGCAATTGTGACCCCCATAGTATGTCTTCACTACAAATGATTTGACCCTGCTGTCAAGTGAAGCATAGAGGTTCCATGGGCAGCCAGCAACACAATGGGCTCTTAATCTCCTCTGGTCATTTCTTGGCATCTTAATTTCCACTCTGTTCCTCACACTGTATTCTGTTATTGCCTCCCTCAGCTTCTCTACCGTTGGAAACATAAGGCCAACAGAAAAACTTGGCTGGTTGACATCAGCTTCAGTCCAACATTTCATCCTAAGCCTATCTTCTCCCTCACCATCTGAACCAGGAAGGTCTAACTCTTCTTCTTCAGTGTCTTCATCATCAGGAACAGCTGCCACAACTATCTCCACCCCCTTCAGCTGGCTTCCTCTTGCCTTTTTATTACTTTTCTTCTGATCCACAGCACTGTACACTAAATCCTCAAATAATTCTTCATCACCATCCAAAACCTCATTATCACTATCTATGAAGTCCTTATCTTCAGATGTTGATTCAGATGTTCCCTGACCTCCACTCTGTCCAACTACTCCTTTATCCAGATCAGTATAAAACACAGACAATTTCTCACCAGGTTTTGGGTCCTGATAATTAACCTTCTTTGGGCTCAAGACTTTAGGTAGTTCTGCCACGGGATTCAGCACTATGTCATCCCATGTATTGTCTTCAAATCCATCTTGATCAAGATAAACTATCAAAGTCTTGAACCTGTCCACCATATTGGCCATCACAATAGTATCATGGTCAGATTCTATCAGCCTTAGTCCATCAGCTATTGTCTTATGAGGCAACAACCAGTAAAACTTGAACCTTGGGCTCATCTCATATCCTAACTGCTCGACAAAATCCTCAAACCACAGTGTTGACCATGTCTCAGTCTTAATCCCATCGAACCAGTTCACTTTCTCATCCACATAGCTTTTTAGTCCACCAGACCCAACAAAGAACCCTCCATGGTGAAACTCGATACTGAACTCATCATTACCATTACCTACATTATGCGCAAAATTGAACTTTTGATCAGCAGAAGAGAAAATCTCGAAAAATTGCCCCAAATCAAGACTACAGTATCATGTACGTATGGAAAAATTGCCCCAAATTTTTCTATTTCTATTTCTATATGGAAAAGAAACATAGTACTACTGATCATCCGAGCTAACACGAAGGCAAGTACCAGACGTATCATGTACGTATGTATATATAATAAATAAATAACCACTGTCAAAGCTCTAAAATGAACACCAGTAGAACATTCAAAGAAGCGCAAGCAAGGAAACAGCTGGACCTGACGGGCTAAGCCTAAAGGGGAAGGGGGAGATGCAAATTTGACAAGCAAAGACATTGGGAAGGGAGAAATCAAAGGGGTTGCTGGAATCCCAATCGAAGGAGCCGAATGGTCGTAGACGCGAAGACCACAGCAATGCCAACGGGTAACCCCCGTGCCTCCGTATCCACGCTTATAAGTAACTAGAGCGAGGCCGCGCAGCGAAGCAAGCAGCGCAGGGAGCAAGCAACATACACAGCTTGCTGGGAGGGGAAATTAGCCCGAACCAAATCCGAACGAGCTAGCTCATCTTCCTGTCCACGCAGAGCGGCAGCGTGATTGAAGCAAAGCGGGAATCGGCGCACCCCGCCGAAGCTCTCGACGTGGGCGCGGCGGCACCGCGTGGCGCGGAGCGCGCCCCCGCCCCGTAGGCGCGCGTCGCGGCAGCGGTCCAGGGTGACCCACCCACGCAGACGCAGACATCCTATGAACCCATACACCAACAACCGATGAACCCTACAATCTACACAGTGGAGGTCGGCAACTTACCGTACTCCGGCGCGGCCTCCCCTTTCTGCCGCAACTTAGCCACCATGGTTCACCAACTTGACGATGGAGTGGTCCACTGCCGTATCCTATCCGCTGCAGCCTCCGCACGGTGGATCGCCGTCGTGGTCTCCACTTCACCTCCGCTCGATTGCCCAAGGTTGTCGCCGTCGACCTCGTCGACCGCGGTGACGGAGAAAGGGAGGCGGGCGCACCTGAGTCGCGACTCCAGACGGGAGCGGCCCCAGGCCCTTCTAATGGCCCTCACATTTTATTGGGGGTTTTTTTTTTGCAAGATTACAGCACGAGTCGGTTTCGGTTGGACTAAAACGAGACAATAGCAGTGATTGGGTACCTAAATGACCGTTTTATAATTTTAGGGACCAAAATAACACAACAGAGTTTAGGGACCGCTGGTGCACTTTACTCGCCACTATATAGAACACATCTAAATATGTACCTGTTTGTACAAACAGGTTGCGTATATAATCAATGACGAGAAAAAGGTATGCTTGCTATTGTCCCAAACGAATCGAACACAACTAGTACGGACCACCATACAACATTAGCTAATTTAGTGTCCAATAATAACCAATACAAATAACCTCCAGATCCCCGTGACCTAAATCCTCAATTAACAGGAACCTTCCTGTTTGGCTCAAAGACATACTTGATCAAAGAGTCCTTGATCGACAGCAGCTCAGGGAACTCAGCCTTCAATTTCGACGCGTCCATCTCGTTGTTGCTTCTAGGTGCGACTATGACCTTGGCCTGCTCTTCGAGTGTGAAGTTGGTCCACTTGAAATCAGGATTGATGTATTTCTTGTACATCTCTAGAATCTCATTGTGGCTAACAACACCAGGGTTGGTGAAGTTCCATATTCCCCTGCAGTCCCGTTTCGCCATCTCAATAGAGACAGGCAGAAGCTCATCCAAAATTGTCATGCTGTTGGGAATGTTCACCACCTTGTCGTAACGAGCTATCTTTGTGATGAAGTTACGAGGGTTGCTTAGATCTGATGATATGGGCATCCTGACCCTAAGAGTACAGACATTATCATACTCCTTCAATAGCTCTTCCACCTGCACCATGATGAACAGCACAGAAATTAGCTTAACGAAGAAGTAGAAGAAAAATCGTTGATAAAAAAAATAAAAACAACCCGAACTTACCATTGCTTTCGTTTTAGAATAGAAGGAACCCATAAAGTTGGGTGTGTCTTCCTCTTTAAAGCCAATACCAGACCCTTCAGGGTGCTTAGCATCATACTCAAATATACAGCCTGTAGCATAATTAATCATGAGCAGACCCTGCTCACGACAGACATCAGCAAGATTCAAAGTGCCTACAACATTGGTGCGGATAGTGTCCTGTTTATGGGTCTCACACCAGTCAACATTCGGTCTCCCAGTGACTCCGGCAGCATTGAAGACATGAGTTGGCTTCACATTTCTAATGTCCTCCAACAGCTGAGATCGCTCCTCCAAGCGCCCTTTCCCATACTCATATGAAATCCCTTGCTTGTCACAAATCTTGCCAAGGAGGCCACCAATCCATCCAGTCCTGCCATAGATTAAAAACCTGTAGGAAGGCTTGGGAGGGGCATCAGAGATGCTTTTGGTACTGGTTGCAGGAGCTACTGTACTAGCTTCAGCTGGCGAAGAGGCCAGAGACTTGATTTCTTCAGCCCAGTTATGCCTTTCAACTCCAGGAGTCATCAACATCCTTGGATGAGGGAGCAGCGCACCAGTGACATCTCCCCAGTAATCAGGATTGGTGGTGTACCACTCCATCGTCTTCTTCAAGCCCTCTTCCCATGGTGTGCGCTCTGCCCATCCCAATCTCTTTAGCTTCTGATCATCTAAGAAGTACCTCTGGTCATTGAAGGGCCTGTTCTCAACAAACCTGATGACTTTCTCAGTATCCAAGCCAAAGAGCTTGCATATGTCCTTGGCCACATCAATCACCCTCCTCTCCTTCACAGTACCAATATTATACACATGTCCAACTTCTCCTTTGTGAAGAACCACCTCAAAAGCTTCGGCCACATCCTCACAGTACAGGTAGCTCCTGACATTGGAACCATCTCCATGAATTGGAAGAGGTAGACCTTGCATGGCCAAAAGAATGAATTTGGGGATGAGTTTCTCAGGGAATTGATTTGGCCCATACACATTGTTGCCACGAGTGGTAATCACAGGAAGACCATAAGACCTTCCATATGCCATCACAAGCATTTCAGCCCCAGCTTTTGTAGCTGAATATGGATTTGTTGGAAGCAACTGTGAGGCCTCATGATTACCAACCACAGCATCTTCGTCAGTTTCACCGTACACCTCGTCAGTACTGACATGAATAAACCTCCTGATCTGACCAGTAACCTTGCAAGCCTCAAGAAGAACATGGGTGCCATATATATTGTTCTTTGTGAACTCAAATGAATTGCCAAAAGAATTATCAACGTGTGTCTGAGCAGCAAAGTGCATGATGGTGTCAATCGACTCGGTGATCAGAAGGTAATTCACCAGGTCAGCACTTGCAATATCACCCTTGACAAACTTGAAATTTGGTGAAGACCGTGAAGGATTGAGGTTCTTTAGGTTGGAGCAGTAGTCAATCTTGTCAAGGACAACAACCTTGTATTGGGGATAGTTCCTAACCAGGCGGTTGGCGACATGTGATGCGATGAAACCAGCAGCGCCGGTTATGAGAATGTTCTTGGGCTCATAAGTCGCCATCTTTGTCTGCTAATTCTCTGACCTGTTATTGTGTTACAAAACACAATGAGATCAGGAGTACTCTTAGATTGATTGCCTATCCTCTAAAGTTGAGGAAGTGAAAAAAAAATTGAACCGAGGCCATCCCTGTTTCCATTACCGAAATAACGGAAATACAGAGTTATAGAAAGTTCAGACAGCAAAGGAAACACTAGAAGTAGCTAGAACAAAAGCATGTAGAAACACAGACTACGCCGGCTTCTACCACACGCCACTACCAAAGTAAGACACATCATTACAGAGTATCATCTCAAAACACAGAGCTGTTTGGATGGCAGCCATCATTTGCCACCCTATGTGTGGTGCAGTGCAGCGGTGCCACAGCTTGTGGCGTGAAAATCGGGTACCACAGAGTGTGGCGAGTTTTTGCTCTGGAGAAACCATCAACCAAACGGCCGACAAAATTTGCATGGCGGCTGCACCTGTGGCGTGGCGTGCTGCCAACAAACAGCCTTGAAATGACAGGAAAGTTGTGGCGTTTGGTTCTGGGCACGTCCCGCCACGCCCAGCTGCGGCTAGTTGTGGCGTAAAAATCCAGCGCCACAGTTGTGGCAAAAACAAGTGTGCATGCGCTGTGGCTGCCAAAAGCTGTGCATGAACCAAGTGCTAGCCTAAGGTGGTGGGCCACAGCTGTGGCGAGGCAAAGCATGGCGTAAATCCAAACGCTCAAGCAGAGATCTGGTTGCTTTCCATAGCAAATACTATTTCATTGACAGACAATGAGTAGAAAATATGGAAACAATTTAGTAAGAGAAATTGCAGTACTCGAATGTAACCTGAAATTGAAATTGCTCAAATGTAACATTTATGCTTAGAACAGGCAAACTCTCCATAACGTTGGTTTACCAACTTGAGTTCTGTGTGTCAGGGCAGTCCCAATAAAAGAAACTAGTAGTTTCTATAACATAGAATACCGCACAAACAAAGTACTGCTTTTCAACCCATGGTTTCTATGAGTAATAATTATTTTCTCTTTCTCTCTCCCAACTCTATCTTCTTCCTCCAATGGGAGTGCGGCACGAGCCCCCTAGAAACTGGTGGTTTCTCCCCAATGGCGATTTCATGGTTTATTGGTGCATTGGGTCAAGAGAAGACCTAATTTCTTCATGAGGAAACCATTTCTAGGATTTTTGCTCTCTTTCTTCATTAATTATGTTGCCATGTCAGCGTTTTGCCTACGTGGCAAGTCATTTAATGAGGATAGAAACCATCGTCAATACACCGTTGGGACTGCCCTCAGGAGCGCAATTAACTATACCAGTGAGGATCATCTCTAGGAGTACTTACTAAGGATCATTAACTCTACCGGTAATAGTAATAAGCATCATTAAAACGGTAAGACAGCGAATGTCCTAGCCCAAGCAATCACCAAAAGGTGCCCGCCCATCATCATGATCCACGAATCTAGAGGACCAACTCACGCGGCAACCAAACCCATGGCCATCCCTTTGAAGCAGGAAATGCCAGATCACGCTGCGTACCCACGTAACCCACCCACGCGACCGCACCTGGGGATGGAGAGCCGCGAGGATCAGATCTACCGCGCTCGCCACCGCAAGGAGCCAACAGAGGAACCGCCCCCCAGGAACAATATGAGAATTCGCATGATGAAATTCGAGAGCAGGGACTTACGAGAAGCGGTCACCGAGATCCGGGAGCGCCGCGGCCCGCGGTGGTGGCAGAACCGACACGAGCCGAGCCGGTGCGCAAGCCTGTCGCCGAGCCGATGGACGGTACCGCGCTCGCGGCGATGCGCGTCACGTGCGGGTAGCGGCGGTGAAGAACGGGAAATCACGGTTGGGCAACGGTGATGCCCGCCGCGACGAAGAGTCGGGAGGGGTGGGGGATGGGAAGCGAGAGCGGGGAGGAGAGTCCGATATCGGGAGGGAGGGTATGGCGACTTATAAATGCGGCCGTATACAGTGCGAGCCCCGACTCCCTGACCCTACCCTGACCCTGACCCCTTTGCCGCGTGGACGCGCCGGTCTGTTCCGTCCGTCCAGCCTCGCTGCCGGACTGCCGGAGTCGCGGCCCCGGTGCGGTCGTGCGGGTGCCCGGAGCTCACACGCCCCACAGCTCAGACAGGTAACGTGGACGGGGCGTGACGGGAAGTAGGTAGTCAGTCTTCTCGCAGCTCATACGCCCCTACAGGCCACAGCTCAGGTATTTGGACGGCACGACGGGCCCAATTCCATTCGAATACGCGCCTCAGATACCACCATCGCGCCTCAGATACGCGCGCGTGTGTACGGGAGCCAACGCTGCATGGCGCTGATGTGGGTTTGAAAAACCAAAACACTTATTTCAAAATGTTATAACTTCTGATCGATGTATCTATTTTTAATTCCATCTACATCGATGTGTTCTACGCGATGAGGCAAATAAAACTAGACCACACTTGCATATGTTTCGAAGAATTTTTGTTCAGTAGCAATTTACGTAAATTAACTTGTAACATACTTCCTCCGTTCCTAAATAAGTGTTGCTGTTGATATGCGTGCCACAAGTTTGACTCGATTTATAAAAAATACGTGTAACGTTTATATCTCAAAATAAATTTATTAAAAAATTAGATTCAACTAATTATATGCCATAAATATTAATATTTTTTAATATATATTTAGTCAAAGTTGTTTCTGGGAAGCAAAAATGATAGATATTTAGGTACAGAGGAGTATAACTTATAACTTCCAACTTATGTACATAAATTATACTAAATAACTTATGTACACAAGTTGTATAAAAATAACTTTATGTTTTATAATTTTTGTGTTTCTAAGTTTTGTAATAAGTTATAAGTTAATTCATTTGTTTGTGTGTTATAATATTTTTGTGTTTGCAAGTTTTGGCACAAGTTATAAGTTAATTCATTTATTTGTGTTTAATAACTTTTTGTAAATAAGATGTGTTTATAACTCTTGAGTTTTCAAGTTTTTCGCATAAATTATATGTATAAGTCAGTACATATAAGTTGCTACTGAAAAAAAAAATCTTCAAACATATATAAGTGGAGTCTAGTTTTGTTCGTCTCGTCGTGTGAAATATACCGGTGTAGACAAAAATTAAAATGAATACACTGTTCAAAAGTTTTAGCAATTTAAAATAAATGTTTCGTTTTTTTTTGCCTACGTCAGCGCTAACGTCATAGCCAGCCAGAAGTCGTGCCGTGCTGCTGAGTACTATTAAATAGGGTAATAGGTGGAAATTATTGTTTTTCCAAAAAGGAATTAAACCCTGTCGAAATTTCGTTAGCTCGTTTCCCGATCCATGAGCGTTCGTGAAGACGGGGCGCGACGGGAAGTTGGTAGGCGTCTTCTCGCAGCTCATACGCGCGGCGCGACGGCAAGTTGGTAGGCGTCTTCTCGCAGCTCATACGCGCGGCCACAAGATCAGGTAACGTGGACGGGGCGTGACGGGAAGTCGGTAGGCGTCGGTCTTCTCGCACGAGGCGGATGGGATGCAGCATCATGCGGATCTCAGTCGGTGTCTGCATTCCATTCCTAGATACATGATGGTTATTGGCCCCATTGGGACGTGATCATGTTTTTTCTGTGCGCTATGAACGCCTAAACGCTGGTTTCGTATCGCAAATACTGCCCGGAGGGAGTAAAAAAAGATGGCAGGCGGATAGTGCCACCGACACCAACACGACCCCTTCCCCTTGCCGGGCGCTGGGCACGTAGCGGGCAGCGCACATGCCGTGGTTGCTTGGAACGGAAGCGTTGGATCATTCCTTGCTCGTGGTTCACTTCGCTAGTCTCGCGTAGTCGTCGCGTCACCTGCGTATCGGGTGGCTTAACACTGGCAAAAGCCTGGAGCCAGATCTGCTCCACGACTCCACCCCGTGTGGAAGAGATGCTCTCGTCTCCAATCCATCAGTTGGATCACGCGACCGATGCGGGAGACAGTCGACAGCACGGGGAAACTTCGTGACACTCCTGTTTCGTTTACCGTTCGTAACGGCCGGCCTAACGGGCAGTCAAATCTGTCGTCTCAGCGCGGCTAGCAGCAATTCATCAGATTGAGAACATGATTGGTTAATGGTCCAATTTTAGTTATCACAAAACTTAGACAGGTTAAGTTTTTACTACCATTTGGTTTGCTATCGAAATTTGATTACATCTCATATTTGATTTGTCAAATTTATGGCAAATATTTTGTCCAACTTTTAGCCATTTTTGTTGCTATAAATCTTTGGCAACCAAGCATGTCCTCAATTCCCTATGTTGAGAGGATTGAGGAAACAAAATTTCAAACATAGCAATGGGTCCTGCAGTGGATTGACAAAACCATATCCTCTCTATATGTGGACTCTACATGTGAATGGATAAGAAAATGTTCCCTCTGTTCCGCCCCTGGAGCATTTTTTTTACCTAGTTCTCTCTCCCTCTCTCTAGATAGAGAGAGAGACACACACACCCACACAGTTTTTAGGTAAAGTTGTTGTTTTTGTCAATCGAATTGCTCTTATAGGAAAAGGAACGTCTTGTCGCGAACGGGTAAAAGAAGGTTCTGTCGTTCCACGCCACGAGCTGTGTTTCTACGCCTGCACTTTCCTTGAAGCTCTTCTGCTGCTCGTCGCTTCTCGTTGGACAAGCGCCGAACCACGGCTCTTCTTGTTGCAAAAGCGCCGAACCAGACTAGATTAGGACTCTGGCTTCTCGTTGGAAAAGCGCCGAACCACTTGTGTTGGAAAAGCGCCGAAACCAGACTAGATTGGGAGTCTGGTAGTACTTCAGTATACAGAATTTCAGACAGACAACGACACCTTGCCATGGCAGTCCATTACAATCACAAATGTGCAGCGCAGCCATGTAACGCTCAGTCTCAGGCAGCAAAAAGGAAGGAACAAAAAGCTCAAAATGGCATCAACATTGCTATAATCGACTCAGGGAGTACATATAGGCTACAAACACAAGTACCACAAGATCTGCGTAGGCAGAGACTCAAACGGCCAGCCCTGTATGAAAATTCTAATAATACAATCCTTCAAGGTGAACGACAAAGGTATATTCCGTTTATTGGAACTCAAATTCCGCAATGAAATGTGGCCACGAATAATGACGAACCCAACTATGAGTATGCTCCCCGTGGATATTCTTCGCCAACCGCAGGGCAGTTTAGGCCTTGGTTTTCTTGGGCACGGCCAGGCGCTCCCGGAAATCATCCTCCATGAGCACCAAGCCGTCCCTCAGGACGATCTTGGGCTCCCACCCCAAAACTTCCTTTGCCTTTGTGATGTCTGGCTTCCTCTGGCGGGGATCATCAGGAGTGTTCTCGGTCATTGTCACTGTTACATCTGGGTTGATCAACTGCAAAGTTAAATTAGGCATGTCAGTAACCGGTCAAGATTTACCAAGTTTTGGAAGAAGAAAGCATTGCGATTATATAGAATCCAACTTGCCTCCTTCACATTCTCAGCAAGTTCCAGCATGGTGAATTCACCTGCGGCATGAGTTACAACCGTTTAGCACAAAGAAGATGGGACCCAACTTGGTCAACACAGGAATATATATACGATAACGCAGATTGAGTAGCTCACTGTGTAGCAACAAAAGTGAAAATACAGATAGATTTTACCTGGGTTCCCCAAGTTAATCGGTCCAGTGTTGTTTCCATTCATCAGCTTAATAAGACCATCAACCTGCAATGAATGGTAAAGTTGATATAATGCACTGACAGGGTTCTGACCAACAACAAACCAATTGAGAATGTAGTGTTAGACAAACCATATCGGCAACATAGCAGAAGCTCCTAGTCTGTGTTCCGGGCCTCTGGACAGTCAAGGGCTCACCACTACAAGATTGTGAAAAGATTAGCTGCCAAAACTATCTGGCAGTAGCTGGGAAGAAAATAAAAGAAATACAACAAGCATTACCGCACAGCCTGAGCAATGAAGTTGCTAACAACACGGCCATCATCAATGTTCATCCTAGGCCCATAGGTGTTGAAAATCCTGGCAATACGGATTTCTACAGACATAGATGATAAATATTGTTAAGGACAAATCATAAGCCCAGAGTTATCGCATAACAAAGAGGGCTATAAGCTAATATTGAAGTTTAAGTGCAAGATGAAGTATTACCAATGCCATGCTGCCTGTGATAGTCAAACATCAGCGTCTCTGCTACACGCTTACCCTCATCATAACAGCTCCTGACGCCTGATAGAAAAAAAGTTAAATAAAAATTGTAAGAGAACTTGAAAGATAATTTATGAAAAACAAAGCAAATATATTTCAATTGTCAGATGAACAAATTTACCAATTGGGTTAACATTGCCCCAGTAGGCTTCGGTCTGAGGATGCTCAAGCGGATCACCATAAACTTCAGAGGTCGATGTCAACAAAATCCTGCAATTCAAAATAAAATCTGTAATTGAGTTTTTCACATGAGGCACTGGAAGAATCAATGGCATGATGAACACTGACCTAGCTCCAACTCTCTTTGCAAGTCCTAGCATGTTCAGGGTACCAATAACATTGGTCTTGATGGTCTGTTTCAGACAATTACGAACACCAATATCAGGAAATATCAGGAAAAACTATGAAACAATATAACGCCTCTTATAGAGCAGAGAACTAGCATACCTTAACAGGATTGTGCTTGTAGAAGATTGGTGAAGCAGGGCAAGCAAGGTGATAGATTTGGTCAACCTCCACAAGAAGCGTCTGGGTGACATCTAAAACAGATAGAAAGAATTTACAGAATAAGTGCCTAACTCATGAGGAAGCACATACTAATTAAAAAAGGAACAACTGAGAAGAGTGATTTGTTAGACGGCTTTCCCATGTGGACACGAAACTATTAATTTGAGTGCATGATCTGTTCCATCATTACATTTTAATGATCAGCAATGAAGTTGCACCACCAGTGTCAGAAATTAACTTGAATGACATGCTTGCAGTCCAAATATGAGATGCCAACAGTAAGTTACAAATCAATAGTACATGGCCAATTAAGAGCAGAAGAAAGAAAATTCATTCAACAGACAACTCAGGACATGCATTGACTATATGATACAATAAATGTGGTACTTCAATTGCATTGACTAAACATGATTCAATCCCTTTCAAAAAGACAAAAATAAATACAGATACCAAGTGAGAGAGTATAGTAGTCAACAACTAGGGCTTCAATAATAATTTATAAACTATTAACGGCATTGCACAAACAACATAGGACTTGTTAGGACAAACACAGAGACAACATCACAACATAAACAAATAGCAGTTTATTTATCATTGACTATCCAGGATTCATAGCTTTCAGGATCCTCTGAAAGAGAAGACTTAAAATATCTTAAGCATGCATAGCTAACTAGTTATTTACCATGACGGATGAGCTCAAATCTTGGGTGGCCGATCCACTTCTTCAGGTTGTCTTTTGAACCAGTGAAAAAGTTATCAGCAACAATGACCTGAACGTAAAGGAACAAAGTCAACATCCAAAATGTCTGCAAGACAAGACCTATAGCAAGGACCCTGGAATTCAATGGTTGTTCAACCCCACAAACCAAGTGTAGCATGAAACAACTCTACAGTAATTAGCCCAATGGCACAACTCATGATTTCCAGAAACTATGTCAGGAAGCTGAAAATGAAGTACCAGGAAACAAGATCTCTAAAGCATTGACACTAGATCTCTGTGATTTCTCAAATTCCCAATCAGATCCACGAAACAAGCATTCAGGACTATAGCTTATATTAAGCTCTACAGAGTAATGCAAGCAGTCCCGCTAGATCTCACTCAGTTCAGTGATCTCTCACATTAGCAACCAGATCCGCAGAAGTACCCAATACTCAAGCAAAGCTTCCAGCTAAAGTTGTGCACAGCAACTGCCCCACATGATGCAAAATGTAACTCCCCGGAGATCTGGCACAATTATCTCCAACTCACGTCCCTTTCACGTGGATCTGACCCACTCAGTTCCTGGTCTTACCACTCAGATGAGATCTAGACAGCCACCATCAAAATGGATTTGGCCCAACAGCCCGATCCCGCAAAACAAGCAACGAAATGATACGGGATCTCGTCCGGGGCGCACGTACCTCGTGCTTCTCGTTCTCCATGAGCTTGTCTACGAGGTGCGAGCCGATGAAGCCCGCCCCACCAGTGACGAGGATCCGCAGGTTAGCCTGGATCAAACAGCAATTTGGCACCAATAATCAGGATCCGCAACACGCGAACAGACCTCGCGGCGAGTGAGATAGAGATCCAGCGTTGAGATCGCGCTCTCACCTGGAAGAACTTGGAGAAGCGGAGGGGCGAGGGGGTGGGCGGCGGGCGGGTGGAGATGTGCTCGCCGTTGCTGCCATTGGTCTCCTTCTGCGCCATCGCGTGGAGCACCTGGTCCGACCAGATCCAAACCAAATCACCCGTCAGAGAAATCACACACCGGAACCAGGCGAGGCCAGACGATCGCGCGATTGCAAAGGCGAAAGGGCGCGGCGCTCACCGAGCAGCTGGCTCTGGGGGATTGGGCTCGGCTTGCTTGGCTCGGACACGAGGAACGGGCGGTTTGAATCGGATTAGACTGGGCCGGACGAGGACGAGGTGCCTCCCAGAGTCCCAGGTAGTCGTATTTATAGAGCCCGCGCTTCACACACCCGAACAGAGATGCAGATGCAGGCAGGCAGGCAGGCAAGAGGCAGTCGGTCAGGGCCTTGCTCTCTTGCACCACCACACCACACCACCGACTGCTGCTACCAACCGGGCTAATCAACCAATCTAAATCAGATCTCACCACCCGACTCCGCAATTTAATTCCTCCCCTTTTTCGATCTGGTTGCCAATAAGAAACCAGTAATCCGTGCAGGGGGGACGACGAGGCGGAGGAGGGAGCAGACATTTGCGCTTCCAATGGAAGCAAAGGTGCTGGTGCCGGTGCCCCCGCGCGCGAGATTCCAACGAGTGCCGCGTGCGGTAGATGGCGACAGCGCAGCGCGCCCGGACCTGGACGCCCGTCCCGCACACCCCACCGTCACCGCGCGATCTAGGTGCGCGGACCACGGACACGGAGTGCTCGGCGGTCGGCCGAGGCGGGGCGATCGGGTGGCTGGCAGGTGGGGCCACGAGGCATTTGACTTCCGTGGGACGGCGGGTCCATGAGGTTCACGAGCGCGGCCGCGGGGCGATCGGGGCTTCTGGCGCGCGGTCGCCGGCCCCTGGATTGTTCCGAGCCGATGCTGTTTTGCGGGGGCGGACCCGGTACGTGCTGTCGGGTACGGAGCGGGGGAGGGTGCGGTGGCTGTGGCTCCGTGCAGACGTGGTGGCGACTCGTTGCTTGCGACATACTCCGGCGCATGAGTCGCATCATGAGCCGTAGCCTAGCCCGTAGATAGGTAGACCTGGGCGGCCGCGATTGGCTGCGTGGGTCGGGATAGATTAGATTAGTGAACCACATGAGATTAAAGGGAAGTCTCGAATTATTGCACTGAATTCACATCACAATCGGACAGTCCAACCTAAACCACCGATAAAAGGCCATCCATATAGCTTTTTCCAAGCTAGCATTAGTAGTGGGTGGTTACGGACAGTGATGAATGTAACTTGATAGCATGGGGGCGTGTGACGAAAAAAATAGGACCGCGTGATTGCATTGCAATTGATTTGGGTGAATTGCAGTCTATAGCCGGGCTCTGCCTCGACCACTTTTTTGCGGCGTCAGCTGCAACATGTGCTGGCCGTCGCGATTCCAATTTCTCTGTTAGGACTTAGAAGTAGGTGTGAGTAGCGTTTCGTCCTTGACTTGTGAATTGTGATGCGTCACCTGTGTTTGGCGATGCATTACTGCTATATTGCCCCATACTACCTGACATGGTTTAGCTAAGGCTTTGTTTAATTCCTCCCCCCTAAAATTTACTTCATATCTCATCGAATGCTTGACACATGCATGAAGTATTAAATATAGACTTAAAAAAATAACTATTTGCATAATTTATGACTAATTTATGAGACGAATCTTTTAAGCTTAATTAGTTTATAATTTGATAATATGGTGCTAAAGTAACACATGTGCTAATGTCGGATTAATTAGGCTTAATAAATTTATCTCACGGATTACTGATGGATTCTGTAATTTATTTTTTTTTGTTAGTATCCAAGTACCACATGTGACACCTTCATATGACACCCGACGTGACATCCAAAACTTTAAAACTCTACACATGGATTTAAACCAGGCCTAAATGTCAATCGATCTTACGTAGGTTCTGATGCAAAAGGAGATATTGAGCCTGTTCGATTGGTTGGTTCATTTCGTTGCTGTTTTGTAAAGAAGTACTGCTGGCTGGTTGATGTGAGAGAAAAATACTATTCCAGCTGAAAAATTACGATCATTTACGACAAGCCACGTCCAAAAGAACAGGCTGAATTCTTTGCTTCAGACACGAGATGAGATCTCCCGTGTGTTTCACCGACTCGCAGAGCTTGACCTGGGGAGGTCCCGAGGTCATACTGCTATCACTGGTGATAAAATACCCAGAGCCAGAGGCGAGCTCAGCGCTGCTGCGCTTGTACCTGGTCCACCGCAGTGCCCGCCGCAAGCCCGCAAGTATCAACTCATCGCGATCGCCGATCGCGAAGCCAGTTCTTGTGCAGGTTTGACGTCTCCCACGAACGCATCGACGTGCGAAGCAGCTGCTTGGTTGTGGTCCGATCCATTGTCGGGCGTGTCCTGCTTCCTCTCTGCTCGGCCGCCGTCGGTGGAGCCGGACAGCCGGTCGCGCGTAGCTGGCAACCCACGTGGACAAGGACTAAAAGTATTCAGCTGTTAGGTAACGGTCGATGGTATGTACCACGCACCAGTTCAGCGTCCGCAGCTCTTGGCTCCTTCGGCACACCTGCAATACGCCAATACAGTAGTTCAATTCGCGGCATCGCTGTTCGGACGTGCCGGTGACTATACCTTACGGCATGCAGCTGCAACTGCAAGGGCCGGCTTGCGGCCTCCCGAGGCAAAGGGCCTGCCAGGCGATCCAATCGGACGCCTAGGGCGACGCCACCGCCAGGTAGCTTTCGCAGATGGCAAAGCAAGCAGCTCCTAAGAGGTAGGCAGAATTAGCATATGTAAGGCTTGTTTGGATACCATGTATCCACCTCACACACTGCTCTAAAGTCCGAACCACTTTAATATTTTAAGAAAGATACATGAGCATCCAAACAACTTCGTAAGTGGACAGTAGAAGATGCCACACTGGATTTGGGTTGCTAACATGGAGAGTGAAGAAAAACGGGCTGGTAAACTTACAGCAAGCTATTTTAAGAAAGAATGAGATGAGGCCGTATATTAATGATGTGGTATATATCGGCAGGCAACTATTACATGAGTCGTTGGCTATACTATTACCCTGCTCTCTAAGTTAACGAGAACAGTGGTTGATGTGAGCGGAGTCCTACACCCTGATTCGTATCGTGTCATTGCTCCCTTATCGTCACCGTCAAATGCTTTTTTAATTTCTTCGTACATGTTGACCATTTTAGTGAAACTTTGGTCAATGTGAAATTTTTAGAGCTAAATATTTGTAAGTCTGGAAAATATTTAACCTGAAGCTAGAGCCACGTCGAGTACATTTGCGTGAGTTCAAAGTAAATATAAATATTTAAACTTTTTAATATATTGTATAAAATCTAAAACCAACATATTGATCTTGGAGCTATATCAAACGTCCTGTAATATACTCTATTCAAGCATTTAAAAATTATTTCTAAATATAAGGAATTTTAAGGGACGAGATAGTTTTGTATTAATAGTAGCATAAATTTAGTAGGTATCTTTACTCCCCATTTGTCAACCAATCTCTATAGATCACGTTGATAATAGCGATTAATTCTCTCTAAAAATGATAGTGTCTAATTAGAAAATAAAAAGTAAAGGTATATATGTCTTTTGTATTTTCTATTAATTTATTCTAAAATCTTTAAAATACATTATATAATAGGATGGATGGAGTATGTCAATTTTCAAATTACTGCCGAACCAAGCTTCTTAACTAGGAGTAGGATATTCTTCGCGAAAAAAAGTATATACTGTTCGGTGTTCCGTTCGTCGCTTGATCGATTAATTGGTTAGTTTGGCACTAGGGGCAGCGTGTGTCCGGTCGTGCGGTTCTGCCAAATTGGAGGAAAAGCTGGAGCTACGCTAACCAGGCTACGGGTACGTATACGTCGAAGCTCCGTGTTCTATGTTTGACTTGCGACACAGAAGACAGAACTTCCTTTTTTTTTAAGAAACAGAACTTTTTTTTTGCCGACTTGTGAGAAACAGAACTTTTCTTTTTTGAGAAACAACAGAACTAAATTATTTGAACGGAGGGACTTCTTTTCCACGGTGAATTGTCGATGGTGAGAGGCCTGCCCTGTAAGCCTGTCGACTTCTTGATGGGCTTCTCGCTCTAGGGCCTCATATATGGCCAGCCGGTAAACGGGCCACAGAAAAAGGAAACGAAGCCCAACTGCCCAAGTGCAGGACTGTGGTTTTCTCAAAAAAAAAAAAAAGTGCAGACTGTGGTGGGTTCTATGCTTCTGTTCTATCTTAAAATATATCCTATAATGCTAGGACGTCCTTATCCGGACACAGCTTCCCACTCGCTACGACGCCGTCCGCGCCTACCCAGCGGTGCTCGTCCAGCAGGGCCGTCGCTAGCCAGGGGTGATCGCCAAGGAGGGGGTGCTCGCCAGGGTGCTCGTCGAGCAGGCCGCCGAGCTCGCCAGGGTGTTCGCGACCTCAGGTAGGTGCTCGCCCAGACCATTGTGCTCGCCTAGGGTGCTCGTGGCCTCATCAGGTACTCGCCCAGGGTGGCGCAATGCCTCCGCTAGGGCACCGACGAGCTCCATGCGCCGCCGACGACCTCAACGCCGGCGTCGAGCTCCGCAACGATGAGGCCTCTATTCGTCCAAGCAGTCAGGTGACATTACGCTGAAAGCGCATGTTGCAACCATATATTTCAAGTATTTAAGATGTTTCAGAGGTGTGTTGCAAGTGTTTTACATCGATGTTGCAAAAGTAGATCGGGATGTTGCATATGTTGCATTGGTTATACACGCTTGTTGCAAGCGTGTGTTCTAAATGTTTCATCTATTTTCAGAAGCACGTTGCAAGTGTGTTTATTTTGGGTGTTGCTATCTGGATGTTGCATATGTTTTGCAATAGCTTTTCAAGTGTTTTTCAGATGTTTTGCAAATGTTTCAGACGCATATTTTAAGTGTTCATTTGTCTTCAGACATATGTTGCAAATGTTTTATCTGGATATTTTAAAAGTAGATCCGGGTGTTGCGCATGTTGCAATGGCGCCGATGGCTGGCGGATAGCTGCCTGCCACAGGGCTTTGGCTTCT